AAAAAAAAAAAAAAAAAAAAAAAAAAAAAAAAAAAAAAAAAAAAAAAAAAAAAAAAAAAAAAAAAAAAAAAAAAAAAAAAAAAAAAAAAAAAAAAAAAGTACCAGGATTTTTCACTCAAATAGACACAATTACTTAAAATAAAAACTTCAAATCCTTCACTCATGGCCTGCTGTACAAAGCTGTTTTCAGGCACAATTCCACTGCATTCTGCAATGAATCTGTGTGTTATTTATGAAACTGGATGCAGAGTGTATTTCTTGCTCCAGAAATGTATTTGAGGGAGGACCAGGCAAACAGTGGAAAGTTACACTAGCAAAAATAGGTGGAGAAACCGAATATTTGGGTGATCACTAGGGATGAAGGACTGGACTACCGACTTTTTGGCATTTAATACTTGGACTTGTCTCTGTCTCGGGTATTGGGTTCAACAGAGAGTTTGTAAAAATGATTTTAGTGTTGTCTTTTGACATGCACAAAGTTTGACAAGAAGTAATTCCTTCGCCTATAAAACAACCTGATCATTGGTACAATACACTAATGAAGCTTACTAGTTTAAGTAAAGACCTGGTTGTGAAAAGCATTTGATGGTTTTTGGTCTTGATGTTGACAGGGTCTTGCTTTTATGTATTTATGTATTTAGACTGGATCTTGACTTGGTGTTGACCCTGTTAAGACTTCAATTATTCAACTGAGAATAAATTAACTAAAATCCCAGATGTGAAATTTGCTCAGGCTACCAAAGGTGTCCAGGCTGCTGAAAAAAGGAGCAGATTAGTGCCAGGTGTCTTTCTCGCAGTTGTGTGATCAGCATTACCATAAAATATTCAAGTGTGTGACAAAACCTTAGGGCTAGACATGCAGAGAGTCTCTGGAAAGATTAAAAAGCCACCACAGTTTTGGCATAGCTCACTAACCCAAGTCCAAACGATGGAGTTGGCGCGTGTCCAAAAGCGTGCATGCCGCATCTTACTTGGGTGGGAATATGTTGTTAACCAAAATGCACTATGCACCCTCTCCCTTAGCGCGCTCTATGACAGGAAGATGGAAATCTGCATGAAGTCTGAAGCAAACAGCTTCATCATCTCAGGAGCTGCCCACCAGGGACGCTGTAACTGGACGAGTGAGGAGGACTCAAAATAAACTGGTGATTCCACAAACACAAACTGAACGGTCCCCAAAGTACACCAATAACTTTCCATGTGTCCTTTATCAACAAGGTCAACTAAAATGAATGTTGGCCACCTTGCTTGTGGTCGTTTTTAATTCCAGAGTAATGCGTACTGGTAATTATTGTTTGCACTTATGGATTTATCACATATTTCTAAAATGTAGGTTTCAGAATGCATGAATGTAGTGTAATGTCTATACAGTTACAAACCTGGAACTTGAAATATGAATAATGATGGTCAGAATTTTAAGGCACAATATCTTAAGTCACAGAATTACTGTATATTTCCAGATATTTATAATTTTAAGAAGAAAATATATAGCTCAGAGAAACCTTTCCTGCAATTTTATTTATTTTTTTTTTTAGACCTCAAGGAGAAAATATGTATCCAGTACATTTTTTTTTTTTTTCCTTTTAAGTTGCACAGTGATTATAATTCTCACTATTCACTATTCAAAACACACAGACATGGTCTCAGACTCTAATGAGAACCTTAGTGCATAATTAAGGTCAGGTCAAGGTAAGCTTATACATAAAAGTGAAATTAGGAGGTGTATATGAGCATTGTTGTTGTTCTTCTGGCTGTTCCTGTTAGGGGTTGCCACAGCGGGTCATTAGTCCGCATATTTGATTTGGCACAGTTTGTATGCTGGATGTTCTTCCAGGCCAGGAGTTGAAGCTGGGCTGTGGCGGTCAGAGCACTGCGGCCTAACCACTAGTCCTCCAGAAGGTGTATATGGGTATATAGTCTATTTGTTCATTTATTCTAATTTTCCCATTAGAATAAATGGGAAAACATTTCTAAGTGCACTCAGGAAAATGTCCAATCAGTATTTGCTGCACGTTCTTCATTTCATTGATGATTAAATAAAAAATAAAACTCCCTATTTTTACACACAGTGTTGAAAAATGCATCTCTTGTGCCATTTTATCTTAAGAAAAGTCAGACAGATTGACAGTGACCTAATTCTTTTTCCCCACAAACTCAAGTGAAAAGCGCCCCGAGTACGAATGTGGCATTCATTGGTCTCCCTAAAAAACACATTTCTCAAACGGCAGCAGGGAGAAGTGTGTTCAGCGATTCTCTCGCTGCCCTCTCAGCCCCTTACTGTTGGGATTAAAAACAGCTCATTTCTCTCAGTACACTGAGAAACATCGCTTTTAAGACTGCAAGTGAATGTTTAATATTTCATTAAATGATTAAAAAACCCCAGGATATGTTGACAAGACCATAGTTACATTACTATTATGACTACAGTTTTTACTGCAATCATTTAGAGTAGGTCTTGAATAATGTGCCTTAAGGTGAACAACTGAATGACAAGCTGCAAGTTTACTTTAATTAATTGCTTGATTTTTATTCTGCCTTTCCAACAACCAAGGTCATTTTACATAAAGAAAGTAAACACACACAAAAAAAAAAAACAAAAACAAATGGAAATGGAAAAAAACAAAGAAAATCTCTCAGGCAAGAGTAAATAAATCATCTGGTACTTGAGTAATTACTTTACTCAAGTATATAGTATATTACGTCTTGTATGTCTACAACTGACCCGAATATTCTTGTTCTAAACATGTTGTATTTTCTATTTTGTTCTCACGTGAACATTATAAACAGTTTAAAAATAAAGGTAATGTTAGCTGACTAATGTTTGGGTTTCATTAGCTTGCTAGGTTTGTTAGCAATCTAATGAGCTACTTAATGTTAATTTATACATGTTTCTCACTAGATAGTTAGCCATCTAGCAATTGCTACCGAACATGCAAGTAACATCATACGTTCAATACAATGCTTTCTGGCTACTGTAGCTAGTCTAGATCACTCAGCTAGCTAATGGTTTACCTGTACAGGTTTCCGCAGGTTAGATGTTGAGCTGTGAAATGCCGATATGGACAGATAGAATTTGCAGGTTATCATGATGTTTCCTTTGAAGCAACTGTTTTAGGTGATCAATTGAGCCAACTGATGCTCATCTGTCTCAGACATTGCTGCTAAGCATTTTAGAGCTTGAAGCGTAGACTTTCACCAAGCTTTAATTTGATTGGCTGTCGAAATGGAATTATTAACAATTTGCACGTCTCTTAACTGGTTTGCAGTCTTGCACTGGTTTACGGTCATATGCACAATTTATTTTTTACCCTCTAACAGTGATAAAAGGTACCAAAGTTAAATATTTTATTTAAAAAAAAATTCAAATAAAAGTGCTTTGATATAATTACACACAAAAAAAAAAGTACCGGTCACAGTGAACCATGTACTCAAGTATTACAACGAGAGTACACGTTCATTGCTTTCCACCCTGGAAATAAGTAACAAAATAAAGAAAGAAATTTAGGTTAAAATGTCATGGCGCTTAACAGAATCTATAATTCCATCTTCACCTGCGGCAAAACAGCCCTAAAGCGTCAACAGTCCACCTCCTTATTGTGCAGTGGGTTTGTGCTTTACTTTTGTTTAAAAAAAAAAAAAAACACGCCAAAGGTGTTCATGGCCAAAAGGTTTTGCTCTCAATCGATCACTACATACACTGCTAACTGCAATACCAATGAGGCTTGGTGAGGTTCAGGGGCTGCATTCTGTGGTTTATGAGTAACAGTTTTGTTAGAAGGGGATGTAGTTTCTACATGTCTGAGTGGAAAAAGTGTGCATGCAGCATCATATTTGGACAGGAGTATGTTGTTAACCAAAATGCTATGACAGGAAGAAGGAAATCTGTATGAAGTCTGAAGCAAACAGCTTACCCATCTTTCAGGAGCTGCCCACAGGGACACTGTTACTGGCCGAGTGACGACTCAAAATAAATTGGTGATTCCACGAACATAAACTGAACGGTCCCCAAAAAGTTCCCCAATACTTTTCCCATATCAAACATTTCTAAGTGCACTGAGGAAAATGTCAGATCACAATTTACTGCACGTTTTTCTTTTCATTGGTGGTTAAAAAAAAACGCCCTATTTTTACACACAGTGTTGAAAAATGCATCTCTTGTGCCACTTTATCTTGGAAAAAGACAGACAGAGACCTAATTTAATTTTGTTTGTTTGTTTCAAACTCAAAACCAAGTCAGAAAGACAAGTGAAAAGAGCCTTGAGTACAAACGTGACATTCATTTGTTTCCCTCAAAACACATTTCTCACAAAGCAGCAGGGAGAAGTGTGTGTTCGGTGATTCTCTCGCTGCCCTCTCAGCTCCATACTGAGGGGATTAAAAACAGCCCATTTCTCTCAGTACACACTGAGAAACATTGCTTTTAAGACTGCAAGTGAATGATTAATATTTCATTAAACGATTATAAACCCCCAGGACATGTTGACAAGACCATAGTTACGTTCCGATGAGACTATAATTTTTTTCACTGCAGTTACTGCACTCATGTAGAGTAGGTCCTGAATAATGTGTCTTAGGGTGAATAACAAGCTGGAAGGTTCATTTAATGAATTGTTAGATTTTTTAAGATAACATAAGATGTACCTTTATTGATCCCCCGTTGAGGAAATAAAGTTTTTTTTTTTTTGTTGAAGCAAAAGTAAAAATAAAAGAAAATAACTTGAGTAAGAGTAAATAAGTCATCTGGTACTTGAGTAATTACTTTACAATTTACTGTATACATGCAATGATATCAATATCACAAATTTGCTTAAATGTAAATAGTGCAGAAGCTTTAATATTGTATATTCAAAATATTGTACATTTCCTTTCTTTATTTAATTGTTCAAAAAAAAAAAACTTGTGTTAAAAACTTTTTTCCAGTTTTAAGTTAGAAAAACTGTTTAAGATCTCACTGTAGTTCCTGTAGCTGAATTTCTTTAGCAAAGTAACTTTACACTCTTTGTATAGGTAAGGGTGCTTAAACTTGTTTTTTTTTTTTCTCTGAACCTTTTCAAACATGGAAAAACTGTTATATGGTTATACATAGAACAATTAAGGGTTCTCCCAGTGGGTTGTAGATTTGACACCAATTACACCACTAACAATTTTAGGGTATCAAAGCTTTACCACTTTTTGGTTCTTTTGGGTCAAAAAAAAGTTCAATCTGAGAACATTTTCTAAGAACATTTGAACGTGTTCTAAAAACCCATTTCCAAAAAAGTTGGGACGCTTTGTAAAATGCGAATAAAAACAGAATGCAAAGATTTACAAAATCACATAAACCCATATTTTATTTGCAACAGAGCACAGACAAGATATGAAACGTTGAAAGTGAGACATTTGACTATTTTATGAAAAATATTTGCTCATTTGGAATTTAATGCCAGCAACATGTCTCAAAATAGTTGGGATGGGGCCAACAAAAGGCTGGAAAAGTAAAAAATACTAACAAGAAACAGCTGAAGGAACATTTTTAAACTAACTGGATTAATTGGCAACAGGCCAGTAGCATGATTGGGTATAAAAAGAGCATCTTATAACAGCAGAGTCTTGCAGAAGTAAAGATGGCCAGAGGTTCACCAACCAGTGAAAAACTGCACGGGCAAGAAGTGAAAATTTCTAAATAAATGTTGCACAATGAAAAATTGCAAAGAATTTAAACATCATCTACAGTACATAATATCATAAAAATATTCAGTGAATCTGGAGAAATCTGAATCTGGAGAAAGGCAGAAAAGCAATATTGGATGCCCGTGATCTTCGGGCCCTCAGCCGGCACTGCATCAAAAACAGGCATGATTCTGTAATGGATATCACTGCATGGGCTGAGGAACACGTCAAAAAAAATCATTGTCATTAAACACAGTTCGCCGTGCCATCCACAAATGCAGATTAAAGCTGTACCATGCAAAGAGGAAGCCATGTATGAACATGATCCAGAAACGCCGCCGCCTTCTCTGGACCAAAGCTCGTTTAAAATGGACTGAGGCAAAGTGGAAAACTGTTCTGTGGTCAGACGAGTCAAAATTTGGTTTGATTTCTTTTTGGAAATCATGGACGCCACGTTCTCCGGGCTAAAGAAGAGAAGGACTATCTGACTCGGTTCAAAAGCCACCTTCACTGATTGTATGGGGATGCATTAGTGCGTATGGCATGGGCAGCTTGCACATCTGGAAAGGCACCATCAATGCTGAGAGCTATATACAGGTTTTAGAGCAACATATGCTTCCATCCAGACCACGTCTTTTTCAGGGAAGGCCTTGCATATTTACCGCACGTCCTACAACAGCATTGGCTTCATAGCAGAAGAATCCGGGTGCCAAACTGGCCTGCAGTCCAGACCTTTCACCAATTGAAAATATTTGGCGCATCATGAACTGAAAAATACGGCAAAGAAGACCTCAGACAGTTGAGCAGCTGGAATCCTGTATCAGGCAAGAAAGGGACAACATTCCACTCGAAAATCTCCAGCAACTCATCTCCTCACTTCCCAAACGTATACAAGCTGCTGTTAAAAGAAGAGGAGATGCTACACAGTGGTAAACACGGCCCTGTCCCAACTTTATTGAGACCTGTTGCAGCTGTCAAATTCAAAATTAACTTTTTTTTTTTTCCCCCATAAAACAAGACACTATCTCAGTTTAAACATTTGTTATGTTTTCTATGTTCTGTTGTGAATAAAATATGGGTTTGTGCAATTTGCAAATCATTGCATTCTGGTTTTACTCGCATTTTACGAAGCGGCCCAACTTTTTTTGGAAATGGGTTTGTAATTGGTAAGTTATCCCTAAAAACTTTTAGTCGTTGGATCGTCATGTGGTATTTTTTTTTTTTTTTAATTCCTTCATATATTTATTTA